ACATCTATATCTATATATACTATTCTAAAAGTGTAAGGAATTTCTTAATATTTTTAATTGTTTTTTTCTCCATAAAATGTCTAATTAACTAGACCTAGTTATTCATACCTCATTTACATTAATGTGCCGGAGTAAAAAAGTTAATTTCAATTTATATCATCTACATACTATTCTAATGGAAAAAAAAAAAATGTACATTATAATTGTATTAAAAAAATTGGAAGTTGAATAGTCAACAATTACAACTTTTTTAATTGCTCAAGAAAGTGCACATTATAATTGTTCTAAAAAAATTGGGAGTTTTTTATTTTTTATTTTAATTAGTTGGGAGTTGAATAGTCAACCTTTACAAGTGTTTTAATTGCCCAATAGTTATATATATATATATATATATCTCTCTCTCTCTCTCTCTCTCTCTCTCATAGCAAAATATACTCTGCTACATTATATATTTTAGACATTCCCTCTCTTTCATTAGTATTTGTTATAAATTTATTTATTTATTTGTGAGTTTGGTGTAGATGTGTTTTTTATTTTTTTCATGGATTAAAAATCACTATTTCATTTTGTTGAATTCCCATGGAGATTGATCATCTGGTCAAAATATTGAATTAAACTTAATTACACTGCATGATTGTTCGGAGGATGAGAAGGGAAAGTAGAGTAGAGGAAAACTATTAAGGCATGGCGTGAGAATGCTTGCTTTATTAAACTTTTATTATTATTATTATTATTATTTTTTTTTATGGATTAAAAATCACTATTTCATTTTGTTAAATAGTTATAGAGATTATCATTTTGTTATGTGTTCTTGTTTTGGTTAGAATATTGAATTAAGCTTACACTGCAGATGATTGTTCGAGGATGAGATGGGAAAGTAAAGTAGAGGGAGAGGGAAAATATTGAAGAAAGGCTTCAAAAGGTTTGTTTTGTTAATTTTTTTTTTTTTTTTTTTGAACATATTCTGATTTTTTTTTTCAAAAAATTTAATTTCTTTTTTGTATGATCATGTCATCCAAAAGGAAAGAAAGCCTAAGAAGTAGAAATTTTTTTTTGAAGGTATATATTTTTATTTTTTGAAAGGTAAGATCGAACATATTCTGATTTTTTTTATTTCGTTTTTGTATGATCATGTCATCCATAAGGAAAGAAGGCTTGAGAAGTGAAAATTTTATTTTAAGGTATATTTTTATTTTTTGAAAGGTAAGATAAGTGAAAATTGCTTGGTAAAGTAGTTCCAAAGATATCAAAAAGTACTGCAAATCATTGTTTGAGGATGAGAGGGGAAAGTAGAGTAGAGGAAAAATATTGAAGTAAGGCTTCGGTTTGTTTTGTTATATATATATATATATATTCAACGTATTTTGATTTTTTTTTTTTTTGTTGAAAACATTTCTTTTTGTATGATTATGTCATGCATAAGGAAAGAAGGCTTGAGAAGTGGAATTTTTTTTTGAAGGAATTTTTTGTATTTTGTGAAAGGTAGGATAAGTGAAAATTATTTGGTAAAGGGCAATTGAGCGATGCCCAATTCTTTGCTCAAATTAAATTAAGATTGGTGGCAAGAGCTATTAACCCTTGTTAGTACTTTTTAAATGTTTAAGTTTGAAGTTGAATAATTAAAAGTTACAACTCTTAGAATTTCACAAAAGTGACATGTATCTCTCTTTCTTAACACTTCAATCAAATATACTTAGCTATATTTTATATTTTGGACACTTTCCCTCTTTTATTATTTTTTGTTAGAATTATTATTATTATTTTTTTTTGAAAGGTAAGATTCTTAAAAGTACTGTATTCCCTCGAGAGCATTGAACAAATACTTCTGGATTGCAATCCAAAAGAACGATTCGGCAGATTATCAATTCCACCAGGACAACCACTACCGAATTCCTCTGAAACTAATGTGTAGTTATAGTAATATATTTTTATAATACAAAATATATTATAAAGTCTAAAAAATTAATTATTCTCTCTCCTCTCTAACACTGTTACCCTCTACTAAAAAACTTCTTGTAAATAAATAAAAAAAAATGAGTGTAAGGGCAACTTAGTTATTTTATAATTTCTTTTTTTTTTTTTTTTTTTTATAAAAAAAAATATTTTTCACTTACTGAAAGTTAATTCTTGCCCGAAAATGAAAAAACACACTATTTGCAACTTGCAACATATCATTGAAATAAAATAAAATAAAATGCAGGTAACAGAAAAAAAGGGACTTCTTTTGCACACGTTATAAAGCAAGCCTATATTAGTAAAACACAAACTGATGTGCTAACAATACATAAAGAAGCCAACAGTCGTAAACACCTGAGCTTGCTTGTCTGATATACATATGCAGCTAAAGATACAACTTTTACACACATTATAAAGCAAGCCTATGTTGGTAAAACACAAACACATATGCTAACAATACATAAAGAAGCCAACAGTGATGAACACTAGACAGAAAGTAGAAATGCTGCATATCCTTGGCAATTACCCATTGCTGACTACAGGAACCTTCTCATACAATTCTGATTCCCTGAATCTCCGAGGAAGGATACAACGACCCCCAAATCGCTGCTGCAAGAAGATGATCACTGCAAAGAACATACCCCCACAAGGGATGATCACATCCCAAGCAGTGGAATAGAAATCTGCAGTAGGATTCGCGTAAATGTATGACCCGTCAAAATGCTGAGGAACGAAGTGAGCCCTGTAAAGATCATATGCATGCGGCAGCAATCGAACGAAGGTAGTGCCAATGTAAAATGAACGGGAGAGAGCATTTTCTCTTGACATTTGGAAAATGTTGAGAAGGATTTGAGGGAACAAAAAACCATCAATGACCAAACCACCATAAGATCTCAAATCTCCCCAGAGGTTATGTTGTTGGTAAGCAGCAACTTGGGAAGACACCGTTGTGTTGCCATTTTTGTTCTTCATCCAATTCACGAACAACACCATAAGTGCCCCTGAAATGTAAACTGCCGTAGTCGCAAATACTGACTTCATTTCAGCAACCCACAGGCCCTTTTGGTTTCCATCACCTAATCGTGTAGACCATGCCAGCTGGAGAAGACGGAATTGCAGCAGGAAAGCCACCATTGTAATTATCCTCACGGTCACCTCATCCACTTCAAGCCATCCACCGGTCCTAAGGAACATATTTTGCCGATTATGAATTTTGAAGAAGAGGGCTTCAAAGTTGAGCAGAAGAGGAATCATGTACCCCAAAGTAAGGATCACAAGCATGACAAGTGAAGTAAAGGGAAGCACATTAGGGCGCTTTTTGACATAAAAGATTTGCAACCCCACAAAGACACATGCGAGTGTGTTAGAGATTAAAGCCATTATGATCTCCAAATCCATCCTCCAGATGGATCGTCTAGCTTCACCATTATAGTAAGCTGTTGCAAACTTGAGAAAATAATTGAATCAAACTCTACTTAAATTGTATTTGCATATCTTTATTGTAAACCTAGGAGTTGTGAGTGCAAATTACACAAAAATATAAAAATAATAAAAATAATAATAAAAATGAAATGGCAATGTTGTGAATGAAGACGAATGGACACCATAGGCGTTTGCGATGGTGGCGCACTGGCGGCGGAGGAGGAGCTGGATAAGTTGAATAAACAGTCGGTTTATTCGTTGTACGGCACTGATCGTGGACTGGGAGCAACGAGGGTGTCGATAGCGGAGATTGTAGAGTTGATTATGCAGCTTGAGGCCAAGAATCCGACTCCGGCACCGACGGAAGCTTTGACTCTCCTCAACGGCAAATGGATTCTCGTGTAAGTCTCATTTATCACATATACAGACATATATACATATGGATACAATATAACCCTAATCCTAAAATAAAGGTGGTGATTCTGGTGAATCGAATACTTATAAAAAAAAATTAAAATTCTGGTGAATCGAATGGAATCGCTTCAAACAATATATATATATGGAACCATTTGGTTCTCTCAAAGCCATCCCAGTTGCCGATATCAAGGTGATGTTGAGTCATTCTTCTTCGGTGAAACTTAATTGGGTGCTGTTGATACGATGATAGTTGTTGATGGTTGCAATTCTATTTCATTTAAAGCTAGAGAATGAGAAAAAGTTTCAATTTTTGTTTAAGGGATAAAAAAGATTTCATATTTTTATATTTATATTTATATTTTAATTATTTAATATCATAATCAATTTGAAATAAAGTTGTTGTTAGTCTAAGTCTAACATGGTCCCTGGATCGTCTTGACAGGTAACGGAAATAACAAAGCCATTTTCCAACCTTAAAATGCAGTATAATAAGGGCCAACAAAAAACAAAAAATATGCAGTATAATTTCTTTGGTAGCACCACCAATGCTAACCTTTTGCTATGTGTCCTCATTGTCATTGGTAAATGACTAAATGGTAAAGATGCAACAAATCAAATTTAATTTCACAAGCCTTATCAGAAAATGGAGTGCACATAACAACTCCACCATCACTGTTCTTATTTTCTTGCCGGCCGTCCCTTTGTGTCAGGCGCGAAGTTTCCGAAGTCTTCTTTTGTTGATATCTTTATATTTATCCACTGAATTAAAAGAATGATTCATTTGATTTTTTACATATTTTAATATGGAGAGTTAGCGTCTCTTGTTCTCAATAGCATTACTCATTTAAGATAAACATGGCTCTATGAAGTATAAGGAAAAAATGTTGAGATCATGACTTGTGCTTTGCTGACTTTGGCGCAGTCCAAGTCGAGTTCCTGCTGTGAGACCTTGAAGCATATACATTCATACATATATATACATGTATGTATGTGTATAACAGGTCATTCTGTTGGACTGTAGGATCCCAATTATGTACTCCAAAAATATTCACTTTGTATTGAAAAAAATATTTATCCATAGACACGTATACATGTACAGTAAATACAAATACGAGACACCATAATTACTTCTATAAGTAAGAAGCATCACCTAGTATGTGGTAATCGAGTCTTCTTCTCTTCATACCTTGAAGAAAACTATGATAATGGCAATTGACTCTTATTCGACAGTCACCTCTTCACAAAGGGGGTATCAGCTCACATGGCTTAATTTTTCCTTGCTTCTCTTTCTCATCACTGTCCTCTCCACACCCTCAGTATCTTCTTCTACAACTTCACCCTCTTACACCAATCATTGCGCTTCAGTAGTTCCTGAGTCAACCCCAACTGATCCCGAATACCACACGACCTTACCACCTCTCCAGATACTGACCGGTCCCTACACTGGTGGTGACAAAATTCTTGGCAACAGCTCATCTCATTTCTCCCTTGATTACAATAAATATCATACCTACTTCCGTACAACCCGAAACCTTTATAAAACCAAAGCCAGCGGTGTTTACAAGGTTGAGGCCTACTTGCTCTTCAGTGGTGTTCTGAATAATGCAACTTATCGGAGAGATCCACTGACATTCATACTAAAAGGGTTCTGGTCTGAATCTTCTGGCATGCTTTGCATGTTGGGCTCAGCATCTCGGCACTCAAGAGAAGGTAACTCTCTTAAACTTGACGCTGTTCTTAAGCTTAATTATGCTAAGAATGCAACTATCTTTACTAGCTTGGTTAGTGGAACATTGGAGAGCTTGAGTTCTCCTCATGATTCGAATTACTTTGAACCAATTTCAATTTTGTCGTTTCCTTCCATGAGTTACTACAACTACACATTGGTTTCAGAGGAATTCGATAATGGGTGTCCTGGTGGAATTGATATTCCACCGAATGGCTCTCTTGGATTGCAACCGAGAAGTATTTGTTCAATGCTCTCGAGGCAATTCAGGACTTTTATGTTGAAGTATGCCAGCGAGTGCAATTCTTCCCAGAACTGTACTCCCTTTGGCAAGGGTTTTGGGTATTCGTTCATGTCCTTGTCTAAAATTCAGTGTTCTGAGGATGTACAAAAGCTACGGTATCTTGTAGAATTTTCAAACAGTAGATATGGTGGGTATTATTACCAACCTTTCAATCCCAACATGGGATTGGTTGCAGAAGGATCATGGGATAGAAAGAAGAACCAGCTCTGCATCGTTGCGTGCCGGATCTTGAATCCCTATGACTCTTTGGGAAATGCTCATGTTGGGGATTGTTCAACTAGGTTGAGCTTGAGATTCCCTGCAGTCTGGTCAATCAAACAAAGATTGGGTATTGTTGGGCAAATTTGGAGTAACAGAACTGTAAATGATTCTGGGTACTTCAATAGAATCAGGTTTGGAGGTGGTTCTTTGATGGGTGTTCCTGGTATGAAGTATGAGTATACTGAAATAGACAGAGTAAAAACGTTATGCCCAGTAAAGAAGCTTTTTAAAACCAAGGGGATGAGATACCCAAGGGGAAATTTTTATGATATGAGATTCCGCACGTCGGTAAAAGATTCTAAAGGAAGAACTGTTTGGGGTTCTGTGGTCCCTGTCTCTGTGGGTGATCAGTTTTATAACCGTGCGTATGTTGAGATTATCCATGCAAACTCAACAGAAGCCAACCATAATAGCCCATTAAATATCAGCTATAAGATAAGGTTCCCTCCATTAGCTGGTGGCAAATCTAATCTGAGTATTGATGGTGAGGAGGAAATTTCTGCTGAGGGGATCTATGATGAGCAAACAGGACACCTCTGTATGGTAGGCTGTAAAGAGCTGGGTTCATCCATTCAGGAACCAAATATGGACTGTGAAATTCTTTTGAAATTCCAGTTCTCTCCAGTAAATGCAAAGAAGGGAGGTTTTATTAAGGGAAGCATTGAAAGCACAAGGAAACATTCAGATCCTCTTTTCTTTGATCGTTTGGACTTATCCTCAACAGCTTTCTATACTGTTGAAGCTAAACGATCCATCTGGAGGATGGATTTGGAGATCACAATGTCTCTAATCTCTAACACACTTGCATGTGTCTTTGTGGGGTTGCAACTCTTTCATGTCAAAAAGCACCCTGATGTGCTTCCTTCTATTTCACTGGTCATGCTTGTGATTCTTACTTTGGGGCACATGATTCCTCTTCTGCTCAACTTTGAAGCCCTCTTCTTGGTAAATCATAATAGACAAAATGTGTTGCTTGGGACCGGTGGATGGCTTGAAGTGAATGAGGTGACTGTGAGGATGATTACAATGGTGGTTTTCTTGCTTCAATTCCTTAATCTCCAACTGGCTTGGTCTGCGCGATCTGGTGATGGGAACCAAAAGGGACTTTGGATTGCTGAAGCCAAGACACTTTTTGTGACTATAGCATTCTACATATCAGGGGCACTTATTGCGTTGTTCATGAATTGGATGAAGAACAAAAATGACAAGATAGCATTGTCTTCTCACTCTGTTGCTTACCAACAACATAGCCTCTGGGGGGATTTGAGATCTTATGCTGGTTTGGTCGTGGATGGTTTTTTGTTCCCCCAAATCCTTCTCAACACATTCCGGACTTCAAAAGAGAATTCTCTTTCTCGTTCATTTTACATTGGCACTACCTTTGTTCGAATGCAACCACATGCATATGATCTTTACAGGGCTCACAACTTCGTTCCCCAGCATTTCAATGGCTCGTACATTTACGCGAATCCTACTGCAGATTTTTACTCCACTGCTTGGGATGTGATCATCCCTTGTGGGGGTATAATCTTTGCGGTGATCATCTTCCTGCAGCAGCGATTTGGGGGTCGTTGTATACTTCCTCGGAGATTCAGGGAATTGGAATTGTATGAGAAGGTGCCTGTAGTCTGCAATGGGTAGTTGGTAAAGGGCTCTACCATTTCTATTTGCCGTTGAGTGTTTACAAATGTTGGCTTCCTTTTGTATTGTTGCACTTTAGTTTGTGTTTTAGTAATGTAGCCTATGTAAGCTTTCTTTATATTATATGTTAAAGTTGTTTCTTTAGCTGCATATATGCTTCCTCTCTGTCTCTTGCGTGTATGCAGAGTTAAATGAAAAGTACTGTTGATGAATGATGCAATTCTTTCACATGTATATATATTGAGGAAAATATAATTAAAAAAATCAACCCAAATATATAGAAATAGCAAATTATATGTAAACATAAAATACAAAGAGGAAGAAACAATAAGTTGCAATTATTTTTCTTCTGTGAAGCTTCATTGGGTGCTGTTGATGCGATGATGTAGATAGTTGCAATTCTATTTCATCTAAAGCTAAGAGAATGAGAAAAAAAAATTAAAATTTTTGTTTGTTAAAAAAGTAATTTAATATATTTATTTTAACCATTAAGGGTATTTCTGTAGTCTTATATCTTTTATTGATTCTTACTACTGCACTGGGAGTCTTTTTAAAAGTTGTGGAGATTTTTTTTGATAGTTGATGTGTTATGTAACATGTCATTATGTCTACAGAAAGCAAATTTTCCGTTCGGAGAGAAAAAATTCGCCGAGTCAGAGTCATTGGTATGCTCAATTTATAGAAATTCATGAGCTCCTGCCGAAAAGGTGTTTCTTAAAAGATGTGAGATTATATATAGACATTTTACTATACTATAGAATTTGAGTCCTATCTTGCAAGTTGAGTTATTATTATTATTATTATTATTATTATTATTATTAATTTAATTTTAAAGCAACTTTAAAATAAAAAAAGTTAAAGCATATATATATATATATATTTATAGTAGGGTGATTGGTTGTCCAAAAATTTTCCACCTTAATTATTCAATATCATAATCAATTCGAAATAAAAAAGTTGTTACGCTATTAGGTGAAGTCTACCCTGTGCCGTCTATCAGGTAACGGACATAACAAAGCCATGTTCCAACTTTGGTTGACTTTGATATGCAGTATAATAAGGGTAGAAAAAACAATATACAGTATAAAAAATTCCAACACCCCCCCCCCCCCAAAAAAAAAAAAATAAAATAAAAAATCAGTTACATTGTTAAATATGAAGTCCTTGACTCACTCATTTAAGATAAAGGCGCTGTTGAATTGAAGTATAAAGGAAAAAAAATTGTTCATTGCTGGCTTTGGCTCACTTCTTATAATTAATGATAAATATTTGAAGTGTTCCTCTACTATTGATAAAAAAAAAAAAACACTTAACACATAAACGTATGCATATACAGTACTGTACAAATATGAAGCACACTAGTGACAAAATCACAACTTCTATAAGTAAGAAGCATCACAAAGCATGTGGTAATCAGAGTCCTCTTCTTCTCTTCATACCTTGAAGGAAACTATGATCATGGCAATGGACTCTTCTTCCACCATCACCACCTCTTCACAAAGGAGGTATCAGCTCAAGTGGTCCAATTCTTCCTTGCTTCTCTTTCTCTTCACTGTCCTCTCCACAACCTCGGCATCCCTGCACCCGAGAGTAAGGTAACTCTCTTAAACTTGATGCTGTGTCTAAGCTTAATTATGTTACTAATGTAACTGTCTTTACTAGTTCAGTTGGCGGAACTTATTGCATTGCTCATGAATTGGACGAAGAACAAAAATGGCAAGATAGCATTGTCTTCTCACTCTGTTGCTTACCAAGGACATAACCCATGGGGTGATTTGAGATCTTATGCTTGTTTGGTCATTGATGGTTTTCTATTCCCCCAAATCATTCTCAACATATGCCAAATTTCAGAAGAAAATGCTCTCTCTCGTTCATTTTACATTGGCACTACTTTTGTTCGATTGCAACCACACGCATATCATCTTTTACAGGGCTTGGGATGCGATCATGATCCCTTGTGGGGTTATGCTCTTTGCAGTGATCATCTTCTTGCAGCAGCGATTTGGGGGTCGTTGTATCCTTCCTCGGAGATTCAGGGAATTGGAATTGTATGAGAAGGTGCCTGTAGTCAGCAATGGGTAATCAAATTGGTAAGGAGATCTAGCATTTCAATTTGCCGTTTAATGTTTAAAACTGTTGGCTTCTTTTATGTATTGTTAGCACATTAGTTTGTGTTTTACGCAGGCTTTCTTTACAATATTTGCATAAGTTCTCTCTTTAGCTGCATATGCATTATCTGACGAAGTAAGCAAAGTTGTATGCTTAGCCACAAGAAACTTTTTTGCTTCCTCTTTATCTCTTATATGTGCATGCAGGATTTAGATGAAAAGCTCAATTGATGAATGATAAGACTAAGATTATGAAATATATATTGAGAAAAATATAATCCAAAAAATGAGAAAAATCCAACCTAAATAAATAGAGATGAAAATTTATATGAAAAGAAAAAATACGAAGAGGAAAGAAACAATAAGTTAAAATATAAAAAGAGAAATGCTCGTTTCAGCGGCTTTCTTAGTCAACCGAGTGGTGGTGGCCGTGAAACAGATGTTAAAGTGAAGCCTTACCGTTGGTATCTCATTATTTAATATTTATCAGAAAATGGCGAAAAGAAGATGCTGTAGGCTTTTCACTTGTATGGACCCCTACTGCAATCAAGTTGCCCACGCCTTGGCCAAGTGGGCTCTCAGGACTCTTGAGTGTAAGCTTAGTGATAGTGCATGGGGGAGGTCTGGCCCTAGTGGTTGATCTTCCTTATCCTGAGCCTTTTTCCTTCTGTTTTGCGGTTTTCTCTCTTTTTGTCAAGTTTCAAAATAAAAAACCTAAAGCGCTTTTTAAAATCTGCACACACACAGACACTCTACTTGCCTGATTACAAATGCAGCTAAAGAGACAACTTTTGCACATATTATGAAGAAAGCTTGCTGCTGCAATAAGATGATCACTGCCAAGAGCATACCCCCACAAGGGATTATCACATCACATCCCAAGCAGTGGAGTAGAAATCTGCGGTATGATTAGCGTAAATGTAAATGTATGACTCGTTGAAATTCCAGGGAACGAAGTTGTGAGCCCTGTAAAGATCATATGCATGTGGTTGCAATGGAACGAAGGTAGTGCCAATGTAATGTTGGAAACGAGGCATTAAAAACATAAATTTTGGATGAGATTTAGGATAGATTCCGCTAATAATTTTTTACGGATTTATAGACAAGGGCGTTTCTTTCTAAAAGGAGATAAACGTGATATATTTACTTTCTCAAATTCGTTTCCGGGTGAATGAGAAATTAGCTCCAAAATATGGTGTTTTGATAAGCTTAAATTGGTATGCAAAATATGGGAAGTGTTTGTCCCACATGGAAAAAAATATTGAAACAAATTGAAATTTGAATAAGTTGAGTTTAGGATTTGGGCTTGGGCTTGGGCCTAATTGTAAAGTCTAGATTATATTTTTTTTGGAATTTTGGATTGGGCCTAATTTTGGGCTGGGCTTATTTAAATGGGTTTCACAAATGGGTAGGTTTTTTGGGTGGTTGGTTTTTTGAATTAAAAAATTACTTTTTAGTTTTTCTAAAAGGTTACGCCTTTTAAATTAAAAAAAATCACTTTTTAGTTTTTTCAAAGGGTTACACCTTTTTTCGAACCATCACTAGTATTCAATACTAGCCTCGGTCCAGGTTATTTATTTATTATTTATTAATTCATTACTTTATTTTTCATATTTAATTAAATATATATTTGCATATTTAATTAATCATTTCTTAGCATATTGTTAATTATCTCATAGCATATTAGTATAAGGGTTGTTATATCTTAAATGTCACATGAAGCATATATTTTTACCAACAATCTTAAGACAGAGTCACTCATTGCGTATGTTTTATTATATGCTTCTATTTAAGATATAAACAAGTAGAGATCATACTAATAAATGAGATATAATAAAATAATGTTATATACAATATTATATGATAATATGCTAAATATTGATATGTTCAATATTATATGAAATTGAAGAATGTTATATAAGTAGAATATTAAATTATCTATATAATTCAATATTAGTTGAATTATTTTAATTTTGTAATATGATATAGTATATTATATTATCTTAAATTTATATCAACAAGTGGTCGAAAATGGTACTTCATTTGTTTTATCAACGATTGCATAAGCTACTGTTATATATATTTGCTATGAAGCAAATATAAAATCTTAGAAATGTTTTAAATATTACAAAAATGAAGTTGAGAATCAACTTAGCAAAAAAATCAAAACACTTGTGCTAAAATTTGTTCAGAATATGATATCATTCATGAAGACATGATGAATGCTATATTGATAAATTCTGGTTTAACTCAGAATTTTAGAGGGAAGTTTTGCTTTCAACAAATTATGTTCAGAATAAAATACCTTAAACTAATGTGACACCATATGAATTATGGAAAGGTCGAAAACCTTCCTATAAATTCTAGAAGTGTGGGGGTGTCTAACTAAGTTTGCAGTTCCTACTCCTAAGAAAGTTAAAGTGAGACCTATAATGTGGCAACCTTGTGGGTGGGTGTGCCGTGGGCAAGTGCAAGAGGTACTGACATGTTATCACACTGAGCAAGTTATAGGTGCACAGTCCCACACCACCTACGTAAGGGGAAGGTAAAGTGATTTTATGTAGTGGTGTTATCTCCAATTGGTATGAGGCCTTTTGAGATAAAACCCAATAACAAAATCGTGCGGGCTTGATCCCAAAGTGGACAATATCATACTATGTGATGGAGTGGATCGTTACATAAAACCTTTGATAGGTTATAACATCAGTGCATATCATTTTCTTGTAGGCTAGAACGTCTACATCTTTTGGTTCTAATTTTCTAGCATGTTTATTGGAGAATGAGCCACAAATCTTTTTTCTTAGATTAGTTGTGTGATATAATTAATTATATGGTATAATATTATTTATGTGAGTTCAATATTATTTATATAAGTGCTTACTTTTAATTGAG